CCGGGATGGAGCCTGGCGCCCAGTGGCAGGTCCCTACCCCACCTCCCTGGGAAACAATGGGCTGCTCTCCCTGCCAGCTCACAGCCAGAGAACACTAACGCTCCTGATTGAACCACAAACCAGATGATTCAGGTGTATTGGGGAGGCCTTTCCCATAACGTTCGCGCTGCCACCATCCGGGAGTTGCTCAAGCAGCTCTGGAAACATTACCAGCAGTCCCAGCAGGAGAGGTTTTGCAACCTGGCCCCCCAGACCCCAGCTCCCCTGGGCACGGACAGACCGGTGCTCTCCTCTCTCCTTTTTTTTGTGAAGCTGGGGTCAGAAAGCTGTCAAGCCCAGCCTGGCCGACGCCAGGAACACGGCTTGGCCCCACTGCCACCGAGCAGCCCCACAGCCAGGCCCCGGCCCCTGGCACCGCGCGCAGGTTCACCCTGGGGCTGGTTCCCCTCCCTTGGCCAGGCATGCCCTGGCACGTCTGAGGTCATGGTCCTGCCACTATCGCTGTGTGACGCTCACTCCAGAGTCAATAAAACCCTTGGGGAAGGTGCAAAGTCTGCACAGGCCAAGCCAGGCCAGCAGGCACCAAGGGGCCAGGAGGGGCGCAAGGAGAGGTGACCGACCCGGAAAGCAGCAGCGCTGGGGCAGCGATGCCCGGGGCTGCAGGGACACCCCCTTTCATGACAGCATCCGAGCAGAGGGCTCCGGGGCGTGAGGCCACCCTGTGCCCTGCTGCCACCCACATGGGCTCTGGAATTGACCCTGTGGAAGCTCCCTGGCGTGACTCCAGTCCGTGACCATTCCCCATGGGGTGAACGGCCAAGGGTCAAAGATGATGGTGGCCGGGACACACCTGCCCTGGCCCAAGGGGACGGCAGGACAGAGCTGGTTCATGGTCTGTGGTCATCAGGGCCATCGCGTGCCTGGAGCGGGGACAGGCACTACGGCACAGGCTGTCCCTTTCAGTTTGGGGCAGGGAAGGGGCTGGGCTCCACCGCACCCAGCCCCAAACCCTCAAGAGGACAAGGAATCCCAGCCTCGCCAGCCCACGGGGACCTGCTCGGGCAGTGCTTTGTCTCCACACGCATTTCTTCCACCTGCCGCAGGGCATGTGCGAGCTCCCACCTCTCCAGCTTTCCTCCAGCCCAGGCTGGGGCTGAACTTTTGGCCACGGAGCCTCCACGGTGCCAGCAAACAAGCCATGGAGGTGGCGCTTGGCAGCGTCCTGGCCCTGGCACAACTAAGCTGTCCCCGGTGCAGGATAACCACCTGCCCACGTGTGCTTTGCCGCAAAGGAATAACAGGAACGTGCACACAGACTCCTTTTTCTTCTGACATCAGTGCCTGCTGCTGGGCCTCTCCATGCTGTGGGACCCCCCTTCTCCCAGCTAGGGTGGTGATGTAGTTCAGAGTTGGTTCTGCTCCCCTACATACCCCCAACTCCTTTTATCTCGCACCATGGTGGATGTGGAAGAGGGGAGGGGAAGGAGCTGGGCTCTCCTGGACCGTCCACACCGCAGCAGGACTGGGCTGCAGGACCACTGCCCTGAGTGCAGGGGAACGGCCAGCTCAGCTCCCAGTGCTTGTCCCCAGAATCTCGTCATTCTGCAGTGACATCCTCCAGGAAAAAAAGGGACAACCCAAGGGTCTTTCTGGAGTCACTGTGCACCCTGCCTGCAGGGCAGAACCAATCCTGGCCTTCAAAGAAGCAGCAGCTTTACTGGGAACGCACCAGAAGTGCAAAGTAACAAACCCTCAGGGACAGCATGTTTGCCGGGGCAGCCATCTCAGGCTGAACTGGGGGTTTATTGATGGGTTTAGAAACTTTAATTCTCTGTCTCCCCTCCAAGGAAATGACCCGGTATTACAATGTGCGATCAGTAACATTGCCGTCAGCTTAGGCAAATGCCAAAGCCCGACGAGATGATGATTTTTAGCTCCCTCTCTTACAAATTTAATTCCTCTTTTCAGCCTTAGACATGTTGCCAAATGTCTCAACCCTACATTGCTCCCTCCCAGCAACTTCCCTTCCCTGGGCGAGGAGTTCTGAGTTTGCCACCAGCCCTGGTGATCTGGGACTTGGTAGGACCCCACTGCTGGAGAAGCAGAAGGTCCTTGGCTGATTTATACGACAGCACTTCACTGCGAAACGGCTGCCTCAGGAAAGGCAGGGAACAGACCTTGCTAGAAATCATCTTTATCTTGGCAAACATCCACCCGAAGGCCACTGAACACAGGAACAATGCATTCCAAGTGACAAGTGTCACTGGGGCAGTCATGCAGCTGGACAGCCCCAGGGACATGGTGGAAATCGTAGAGATCACAGAGACCAAGTAATCTGCCAAGGTCACCAAGAAGCTCACGACAGAGCTGGGAGCAGAAGGAAAAAATCCCAAACTGTGGTTTTGTGCCATCCTGCCACGTCCCATCCCCAGGGCTCACCCGCGAGGCTGTGGCAGTTGCCTCGTCCCAGCACGGAGAGGTCCATGGCTGGTACCCGCTGCCTCGCACACGGGCACGTCCCCCTGCCAGGGCCAAGGCGCCCACCTGACCTCCTGGAAGGAGGTTTGCTGCCTGTTCCCCACACCAGCCAGGCTTGGGGCTGTTCTCACCGCTGGCAGTGACACCACGGTGACGCGTACAGGCCAGGGCTTCCTTCACCGCTGTACAGCCACCCACTGGAAACACGCCATCCCTTTGACAGCTCTGCAGGGACAGTCAGTCTCTCACCCAAGAGTCAGAAAGGAAAAAGAACCAGTTCCCAGCCCCACGAGCCCAATTTCCAATGCACCACTCATCCCCAGCACGCGTCCTTTGTCACCAGCCTGGCGGGCAGCCGGCCCCCTCAGGCACCCGCAGCCCCCATCGCACCCAGCCACCACCCGGAGGGGCACGCTCCAGCTCCCCACTTCAAAGCAAACCAGGAGACGTGGTAGTTTGTCTTGCAGGTTGTGTTTCAAGCTTACAGTTTGGAGGTACCCATTTGTGCTTGCTACCAGACCTCATCACCCTGCTGCACGTTTCTGGAAAAAACAGTGATCAAGTTCCTAAGTTTACAGATGAGGATCTCACAAGGAGGAAGATCAAGGCACTAATGAGAGTGGAGGATCAACATTTCAATGTTATCTCTAGCATTTCTTTCCTGCTATTAGAAACATGGTTTTAAGTTCCAAACAAGCACCTTATCCTGTTCTTGCTCTACACTAAACACATAACAATGCAACTGCTGTCAGCAATGTCAGTTCAGGAAAAACAGGATCGTGAAGCCGTGTCCATTTGTGATCCCATGGAGGAGTGAAACAGTCAGGGATGAGATGGAACAGGCCACCAACTCCAGCCCTCCCACCAGCTCCAGGCTGGTTCCCGAATTGCTGCACCCTCCTGCAGAAAGTCCCTGCCCAGCTCTGTGAGCTTCTTACTAATGTGCATCCGAGGTCTGAGGCCTCAGTGTTCACCTCGGTCTTCCCCCAAAGCGAGGGAAGCACGGCAGCCATCCCAGAAGGGCTGCTGGAGAAGGGAGCGGCTGCACGGCAAGACGGGGCTCCTTTGGATGCTGCAGAGGGGAGGGGGAGGGAGAGAGGCACGCGTGTGCTCTGGAGCACACAGCGGTCAGTGCTGCCTGTGACCCTGCCTCACTGCCCGCCTGGAAGAGCCCCGAGGCCACTGCAGCTTCTGGGGGCCAGGTTAGGCCCTGCAAAAACACCTCCAAGAGCAGTAATGGCACTTTGTGCTTCATGTACCACTCTTTGGAGCACAACAAAACTCCGAACAGAGAGTCAAGGGCAATAGTTGAGATCCTGGCTGATTTACAGACACAGAGCGAGCAGATTCCTCCTGGGCATGGCACAGTAAAGCAGCTACACAGCTGGAAACAAAGCTCAAGTCCCACCAACGCGACCAAACCCCTTTGTTACTGCCACAGGCACCAAACAGTGCACCCTGCTCTGAATCCCTTGCTGAAAACTCCGCTCTCCCACACACCTTTCCACCAGCTCTGAAGAAAACAGAGAGAGATTGTGCTAATATCGGTGGGCAAGACATCTAAAGCGAAGCAGTGCGAACACTCCCCGTGGCATTGCCACATTCCAGTTAATTCTTCCAACCCACTGTTAAGGTCCCTCCCAGCTCCTTGGATTTATACACGTTTGCTCCACAAATGGCCAAAATCGAAGAGTCTTTCACTCCTTTGCATGCATCTGAGGCTGCCTTATCGACAGGCGCTGGCAACACAGGCTGAGCTAGTGCAGTGCTACCCGAAAATGAAGGCAACACGTTGCTGCATGCACAGACAGCAGCTAAGAAGGACCTTCGGCATTTTAGACCTGTGTTTTTGGAGGCAGAAAAGAGTCTTCTGTATTCTGTCCTCTTGCCCCACCCCTGGTTCAACAAGTCCCCTTCAAGGCACACTTGGAGAAGTCACTACTACAGACATCCATCCTCCTCTACTCAAGTAGGAAGTTATAAACTAAGGCTTGCATGATTTCAGCCTCTTTTGGGTCCCTGCTACATCAGACCCGTAAAGAAGACAGGAGGCTAAGAGCCTCAGCATAGATGGGGCATGGCCTTATTCCTCCAGTCTAGTTAAACCCCAGATTAGTCCAGGGTTTTGACAATTAAGTTCCTAGCTTGAGGTGGGGAGCTGATGCACTGTGACTCCAGCGGCAGTGTGGAAAAAGGCAGCTGCTACACACAGTAACGAAAAAAAGACTCCAAAAGGATGAGAAGCCCACAGAGGCGATGCAGTCCCCACCTCCCAGCAATATCAAAAAGTAAACAAAAAATTATAAAGAAACTAATTAAAGTAGCCAGTGCCAAGGAGCAGGGGGATGGCGTACACTGGAGCTAACAACCCCTTCCACGAGTCACCCCAGCTACGGCAAAGCTGTGAGCAATCGCACAACGGTCCTGCCACAGCGCGAGAGTCCTGCTGCTTTCTGGAGGATCAGTACACCTGGACTCTGGAAAATTCAGCTGAGACAGAAGCCCCCGGGGCTGCTGGATACCCTGACGCTTGCTGAAGCCCAGCCAGGGCGCCCACGCCCACATGTGCGCGTGGATCGGTCGGGCACGTGCGCTGCGGGGGAGAGAACCTGCCCAGCTGGCAGCACTGTCCAGGCGAGGCTCCAGCGGGGGCCTGCACGTAACACCCTCCGTAACACCCTCCGAAGGCACCGCTGGCGGGGGCGGGGGGAGAAGTAAGGCCGAGTCCTGCAGCGTGGCTGTGCAGGGATCCCTCGTGTCCCGGAGCGTGGCCGTGTCCAAACCCCCGGCTCTGGGCACTGGGGTGCTGCATCTGGAGAGCAGGGAGAGCTGGAGGAGAAGAGCAGGAGTAGCTTTGGGTGGGGTAGACGCCTGGCACAGGGTTAATCCTGGGCAGGAAGAAAACAGAAAGTGACACTGTGCTCAGAACCGGCATTGCCTAATTAGCGCTCAGAGTGCCCTGGGGGTAGATTTCCTCCTGACCAGCGCTGCTCGGAGAGCTCCCTGCAATCCCTCAGAGATCACTACGAGGGAAGCTCTCATTATAAGCAGCACTTGAGTAAAAGTAGGTTTACCGGCCTCCCAGGCCAGATGTTCCCACTCCCAACCCACACCAGTTCCACGCCCACTGAACGAGCGCGGTTTTTGGCCCCGAGCCTCTTTGGGCAAGGACCACGCACGCCAAACTGGATGTGCTTCACGATGTCCGCGCGCACCCGCCCTGCCGCCGCCGCCGCCGCGCGGCACATCTGCTGAGTTACTCAGCAGGAGAAGTCACAGCTGCCAACTGTGGTTTGTCAAGGAGCCATAAAGGCCTTCTGGGTGCGAGGAAGAGCCCAGGGTACAGAGCGAAAAGGGAAGGCGAGAGTTACAAATAAAATGAATCATTCAGAAGCAAGGTCTAGGAACAGCCTTTGCCAACAGAAGGCATGACTCATCCCACTGAAACCATCAAGAGAGAAGCAATCTGCCTCCAAGCCAAAGCCTCTGGGACTTCAGGAGTAGTGCTCAGCCCACGCACAACGAGGCAATATTCAGGACCACCATGACTGCCAGATTCCCAGCCAGAATAAGAGACTGGTTCATGCTGGGATTTGGAGCTTGGATTTTTTTTTTTTTGGGGGGGGTGTGGGTTTGGTTTTTGTTTGGTTGGTTTTTGGGTTTTTGTTTGTGTTTTTTTGTTTGGTTTTTGGGGTTTTTTTTAACTTATGGATACAAACATGATGGCAAAGCCTGGACTTCCTAGAAATGTCTCCTGTCCAGTGGCAAGCTGATGCCTGAAGTCTTATGACAAATTTTTAAAAACCAAAACCCAAACCATCAAGAGCTCTTGCTTGGGAATAAGAATCCAAATAATAAAAATTAAGCCCCAGAAGCACATACAGAACTTGTGCCTAAGACACAGAGACATGCAAATTTAGCTGCAGAAATGGAAACATCCTAGAACACCTTCCCATGCCCTGCTTGCTAGTCAAATGTTTATGTAAATACCTTTGAGCCAGAACCGTCTATGTATGTCATCTCCCCTACAGCAAGCAGGTTCAGACACAGAGCTGAGGTGCTGAGCAGAGTTATTAGCAGAAGCATTAGACTGATGCACAGGCTCGGCACGCAGCGACAGTCCCTCCTCCCAAAAGCAGCACTTGGGAGGGTAAAAACCCCCAGGCTGCTGGGTCTGCCTGGCCTTCCCCGTCACACCTCGAGTGCCCTGACTGATCTGGGGTCCTCTGCTGCAGGCCAGGGTTGCTTTATGGTTTCCCCAGGGGCCAGGGCAGATGCAAACACTTGGGAATGCTTCCACTTCAAAGAATGCTTTACAGTGAGCCGGTGGGTTAAACAATACATAGAAATTTAACCCTTAACAGAAAACTGTCCTTCCTCCGTGAAGCTGAAAAGACACCTTAGAGTAGGGAAAAATTTGACTGACATTTCCAAGCTTTTTCGAATACAAGTGAATTGTCATGGCTTGTGATATACACAAACTTAAAACCGTTCCTGAACATCAGGCCCCGAGGTTTCTTTTCGGTAAAGCAAACTTGCCTTGACGCTGAAAACATGCATCGAACTTTGTAAGTGACATCTTTGATTTATAATGCTCTGCTCCGACACAAATTCAGACACAACTCACTTCACAGCATTCCTGGGAGGTGAGGGGGGCACAGAAAGATAAAGACCACGCCCCAAGGAGCCACACAGCCAGGAACAAATGCCCAAATGCAGTTAAATCCTAAAGTTAGGGCAGAACGACGCAGCTTAACTGTCAAGTCAGGGGAGCTGCAACACCTTCGGTGGGTGTGCACTGCCCCTGCAGCAAATGAGAGGTCTTTCACCTCCACTTAGCTTTCACTGAAAGAACTGGTTGAGTTAAGGTGTGATAACACATTAGTCAGTGATGTCACCAGTGATGGGTCAGTGTGTTCCTAACATCCAGGCTATGAACACGACAAGACCAATACAGCTTTCAAAGGCAATTTAATTCCTCCACTTATGCCTCAGAATTCCCCTGTATCATAAGATCTTTCACAGGAACTGCTGTACTTACTTGCTGCTTTCGAAGGCTCTTCTTTCCGCTAAGGACCCTGGGATGTATTTCAGCCCCGGTATCCTCTTGAGCAGGCTGAAAGGGAACATCCGGTCCAGCTTAGAGCCCACTGACTCTGGAAAATCCAAGCAGAAACAGTAGCCGAGGCCATCTGAAGTCAGCAGCACGTTAAGGAGGACTGCAGGCAAAACACACTCATTTCTAACGCAGCCACACACAATCCCCCTCTGGCCACAAACCGCTTTCCCTGGAGACTTCTCCCAGTTCTACCCAGTGCCACCCTCACAGACCATCCGTCACCCTTCTCAGCGTGCACCAAGGCCACAGGGGCAGTGGAAGCACACGGTGAAAACCAAACGCAGAGGAGTGGCAAAGCCAGCGAGAGTTTCACACGGAGCAAGAGCCCAGGAACCACCACAAAGCCCGCAGCAACGTCGCAGCAACGAGAACCGCAGCACGTCCTCCCCTCGGGAGCCAGCGGTCCCACTCCGGGTCAGGGCTTTGCACTTGGGAAGGATACAGGCTTCCCCAGCGAGGAGCCCACAGATGTTGCACAAGAGGGAAGAGCAGGGGATAAACCACGCTATGCAGAGCATAAACCACGGCACCAGCACCACTGGAACTCTAACCCCGAAAACCAGAGTCCTCTTCATCCGCGAGCGGGTGGCGGACACCCCCAGCATAGCGAAAGCTACCGGCATGAATCCTTTGGCATCTTCCACCGCTGACACCCTCGAGACAACGGTCTCAAGGAAGAGGTACAGGAGGGCGGTGAGAACGGCGAAGGCGAGGGTGAGGAAGCAGTGCTTCACGGTGCCAACGTTCTTCTCAAAGCTGCCGGCAAAATACCAGATGATAACGGCACCGCAGGCCAAGGACAGCAGGTCTTCGTAGACAAAGATGTAGGTAACTAACCTGTGAACTGGACACACCAGCACATTAAAAAGGCACAGGCAGTTGGTTTTAAACCACTACGATGACAGGCTTGAGCAAAGGGACTGTGGGCCTACAGGATTAATTAATAGCTTTCATTTCTATCCCAGGGTAGAACAGAAGGAGCTTGAGGCCTTTAAAACTGGGTGTAAATAACCAAATAGGAATTAAAACAAGTGCTATCTTGGGTATTGCAGACATATGGACTGACTCGCTGCTTCCTGGGAAGCTGCCTGGAAAAAAGCAACAGTATCTGTAGTAAATTCAGTCTCATTAAAAGAGAAGACATAAAAATAACTATTAAGGTAACTACATTTTTTGCTCAAAAGATGAACACTTCTTAAACAGCTGATTTTTCTCACAAGAAATGCCTGGAGACCTCAGAAGTGCTCCAGGCCCCTGGGTTAGCTGTTCTCCTGGGCACTCAGAGAGGACTGAGGCAGAGTTCTCCACCTACCTCCCATCAACGTCAGTCCCATAGCCACAAAAACAGCAGTTGGGAGCATAACCTGGTACAGCCTGACTGCCCCCCTGGAGAGACGCAAGGAGATGGCAGAATTCACCCGTCAGCTCAGAGCACTGGGCTGCTAAAAGAAATCACTGCCAGGGGGCGAACAGGGACTGGGGAATTAAAAGTGTGATCAAAATCGTTCTGGGAAAGCCACAGGGATGAGGAAAGAAAGCAAATCCCTCAAGCTCCTAGCAGTGTGCCGCTGCTCTGCACAGCATCAAGGGCCAGAGATGGGGGCCGAGGGGGGAAGTAGTCTGATATAGCGAGGCTGAGATGGATGTCCAGCGGGCTCGGTGCGCGTCAGGGGAAGTGCCTGGAAGGGGGAGCAAGGGCCGCAGTGCGGGCCCGGGGGAAGGCCCAGAGAGGAGGTCACGCAGGGAGCAGCAGGCTCGGTGAGGGG